ATTTCCCATTTAATTTATTGGAGATATTCTATTAGGAGGTTGTAGGTGATCCCCAGTCAACTCTAGCTAAAATTACATATCACAGTGTAGAAAAACTGGCTGAAAACTTGTCTTTGTATGTCAGAAAATAGTTGGACTTTGGTGTGGTTGTGCTTGAGATTTTTCTTAGGTGTAGGAACACCAGTGTTGCAGTTTGTGTATTGTAATATTTAGTATATACTTTGTAAATACAATAATAGACAACACTACTATATGTGACTAATAGCCACCAGTCATGGACTGCTCAGTTTGTCTTTCGAGCAGCAAATATAACAGGATTCCCCTGGATAACTCTGTAATTCCATGACATCATTTGACTTTTTTGTAATTGTGTCCCAACTTGCTCAGCTGGAGTTCTTCGTAGGTTCAGGTGGATGTTATACGCAGAATAGGCACTTTCATTATGCATCTGACTTTAGAAGGCATTTGGCTTAATGTTCAGAAGGTTGAGCATCTGCAGCTACAAATAGATTTAACGAAAATTCTGCAGACTCATTTCTAAAAATGAATTTTTATGTGAACTTGAGGTTTTCTTGTTTGATGTGAATGCTGCTGTATGTGTACCAGTGTATTACTACTGATGTAGTACTAGTGCATCTTACGTAAGTACAGTATTTTGCTATTTTCCCTAATAATGAGTTGGAATGCACAACAGCTTTTTCTTTGTCAGCAGTATGCTAGCAATTCAGTTGCGAAAATCTGTCTTAGTTTTCTTTGGTTTTGTAAGAGACAAATAATTTGTTTGCAACTTCGTCTAGCAGTTCATTTATAAAATAGTAGACTCCCGCCTTTCAAAAAGCCTTAGAGAGGAGACAGACTGGCCAATTTTCTCCCTCCATTGGCAGAAGGAAGCACTTTGTTCACAAAGACTTGCCTACGAACTCAGGACACAGGTTTTGTTTGTGGGGTTTTATTTCCCTTCAGTTACTGGAAGTTTTCATCCTGTCTGGGATGAACACATGGCAAGAAAAGTGCTTGGATGAGTAGGGATTTAAAGACATTGAATCGGACAGTGTGAGTTTTCTTTTTTGTTTTCCCCTAGTTCCTATGTATCTATATTTTACTACCTAACTGTTTGTTATTTATACAATTGCATTGTATTTTTTTTAAGAAGTGAGAGACCTACCGTCTATTTGCCTCGATGTACGACAAAAGCAGCGCATCTCTATAGATACACTACCCCAAGAACTGAAAGCACCAATTCCTCCTGAACCTTCCCTTCCCATCCGAACCAAAACTGTGAAAGAGTTTCAGTAAGTTACACTGGTGTTTTCTAGAACTGTACTTTCTTTCTTTGGAAAGTTTAGCTATTTCTAACTTTGGCTAAAAGTACAGATGACCTTTCTTCATGCATTATGTCTAAGAGCGCTAATTTTCAGAATCAGTTTTATGGCAAAGACTTATTTCTTTTCTCGTGTAATACTTGCTGCTTATGTGACCACTATGCTGTAAGTTTGTCTAAGTGAAAAGAGCTTTCAGATTAAAGAGTCTGTGCAGACAATGTTTGTGGTGCTGCCCCATAACACTGATTTAACTAGAAGGAAAGTAGAATTGATGTGAAATAATGTCTTGGGTTCCACTTCTGTTTTTCCAGATCAGGGCAGACCCTTAATCAAAACTGTGTCTGCATTAGATTTCTTCCAGCACTGTTATGCTACTTGGTACATGATGCTTGATCGGCTTAGCTAGGCTAGCAGAAGTCCTCGGGGAAACCACCTGAATTGTCTTTAACTGTATTTCCCTGATGTCAGGTCTGCACCAAAAAGTTTTGCTGGCTTTGCTTGGTTTGCTATGAGCACAAGGCAATAGAGGACATTTTTTCTCTGCTTAACATAGCTATGTTCCCAAAAATTGTGATGTGGACGCTGTCATTAGAGGAAATGGCGTAACTTTTTTTTGAAAAACTAATGGCGGAAGTTTGAAAAACTACACTACGGAATTCCGCCTGCGATATGTGAACGTATGTTGGCAGAGTGTTTCTTTTAGAGTGAGTGTATTCTTAGAGGGCTATTTACTAATTCATTGAAATTTACTAGTTCCTTGTGGCTTTGTTGTTGGTTTTGTTGTGGGTTGTTTGTTGGGGTTTTTTTTTAGCCTTTAGAGCCCACAGAGCAGTGTTACACTGCTGTAATACCTGTGAATGTTTTACAGTAGGATAATCTTGGTCAGGAAACCAGGAGAAGTATTCCTAGGAAGAAGCCCGATTCTTCTATTTTTTTTTTTTCAAGCAGATTTGGGGGGGAGAAATCACAGTTGCTCCATGAGGCATATGAGCATGTACTCTTTGATGCTCTTCTCCATGTTTGAAGTTTTGTGCATTCGGTGAGGAAAAGGAATGCTTTTTGATTAGTCAGTGTGTGTATTTGGTGGAAAAGGAAACAGTTATAAAAGAGAATTTGACAAGAGGTGATCCCTTGTTGGTATTCAGGTGATCTGAAGAACTGAATTTTTTTCAATATTCAGACTTTTGTGTCTATTGACTGCTGTCTAATTATGTAATTATCAAGAATTTTATTCTTTCAAGTAAAGTATTAAAAAGTCATTAGCATTTTTGGTATGTCCCAGTGATAACTTTTTTTTTTTAAATATGTAGTACAAAGAATTTATTGGGGTGGGGGGCAGGGGAGCAAACTGGGATTTATATCACCAGCATTGTAGATAGCTAAAATAAAATTCTGCTTCAAAGGTTGGTTGGGGTTTTTTCGGTTGGTTGGTTTTTAAATGTACGATATTATACAGAATTTCATATAGAGATACGTGCTTTAAGTTCCAATACTTGAAAGGACTTTAAGAGTAAATCCACAGATTTTGTTGTCCCCTTAAGGAAAGTGTACAGTCGCATACAAAGATTATGTTTTATTTGAAAAATTTGAAGAGCAATAAAATTTTGTACAAATGATAATTAATTTGACTAGTTCAGGAGCCTGCATGCTTACATAAATTAGTCTTAGAAATTTTATCATGTCAGTGTATCTTCAGCTTAATTCTATTCTGCTAATGATTTGTCTCAATATACTGAACTGTGACACCATGAATTAACATTTTGAATAAGAGACATTGCTCAGGTGTATCAAACACAAGCTGTGCTTTTGTTCTCTTGTAATACCATGATCTTAAACTGACAAGGAAGATGTTAGAAAGATATTGATATACTTGTCTGTTTTGTAAGTGTGCTCAGTGAGGGAAGTTTAGAGTTACAGTGCAGTCTACAGTGTAAGTGGTGGGGAAGATTGAACCCTTACATTACCGATATTTTAATATATTCTTTCTAGGGATGATGTGGAAAAGGCTAAGTCATCAGGAGATTGGAAAGCCGTACATGATTTTTATTCTACAACATTCGATTCTTTCCTGGAGATAAATGCTGCATTTAAGGTAGAAAATAATCCATAATGCTGTTTAGTACTTACAGTGCTTTCTAGTTTCAAAGTGTTTGCTAAAACATCAGTTAAAGGCTTGCAGCTAGTTACTCAAGACCACTAAGATCATTTTGTCATGTTCTCACCTGTCTTTGGTAGACAATCTGTTATTGCATTGATTTATTGATTCCAGTTTAAGCATCTATATTTCAAGTGTATGTGGAGCTTTAATATGCCAGTATGTAACTCATTTTTTGACACTATGAATGTGTAGATACTTTCTACACAAGCTACAGTTTGAAAACATGCAAGCTAATGCAGGTAATATGGAGCCCCAGGCAAATCTGGAAACAGAAATTCCCTGTCCCCGAAAAAACACGTGATATGGGCTCAAGTAGTATAGCTGTTCTTGTGTTGTGATGGCACGTTTTCCTTGCGAAGGATCATATTCATGTGTGAAAACTTTCTGAATTCATGCTAAATTAGTATTTCCGGCCTATTACAGAGCAAAATGTGCTTATGATATTTAATATGGACAGTAGGACTTGAATCTAGATAAAATAGCTTGTCACTTTTAGTTACTTAACAAATTTTGAATGCTTACATTTTTTTTGCTCTTGTCTGATAATGGATCGACAACAAAGATGATACATGAAAATTCAGTGTAATTCATTATTTGAAACCTTCTTACGTTTTTAAAATAGAACAACAAGCTATTGGAGTTACGTGAATATTGCCAATGTGTAGGATTATTCTTTAGCTTCGTCTTTCACATATTAGTAAAAGCAACTTAGATTCTTATGTTTTGATAAGCAAAATAGAGTTATATCTGTACGTGTTTTGTTTAAACCTTTGTTTTCAAAGACAGCTAAAATATTCAAAACATTTCAAAACAAAAATGCTTCATGTATTATCTAACTTACAGAAAGATACCAATTCTCCATTTAATACCATTGAGGACTCTGGAATCAATGCAAAATTTGTGAATGTTGTCTATGATGCCTTATTAAATACTGTAAGTAAAAGCAAATAATGTTTTAAAACATTGTAATAATTATTTCAGCAAAGAAATATGCTAAGCAGCAATTTATACCAAAAGTTTTTCTCAGATTGGAATGATTTCTGAAGAATCTCTCAGAACATATTTAAAATGGTCCCATGAGAATTGCCATAGGGTCATGAAAAGGGCTCTAGTAAAAGAGGAGGAAAATTTTGCTACTAGTAATGCACAGTTCACACTGTGGTAGGTCTCAAAGACTACTTGCAAGGTGTGACATGACTGGATGGCACACTGCATGGTGGGATATAAGGAAAATGGATAGGGGTAGCAAAAAGTGGGCACTGTGCCTAGTAAGCAAAGGACAGGAGTAATTTAGAAATTATATTTACAGTTTTTAAGTTGCTTAAAGCATTGAAAGCTACTGCTGGCACAACTCCAGGCCTCAGCTAATAGTTGGCAAGAAAAGATACTTAGGAGTTCAGCATCATAACACAAAACATTCGTAGCTGGCTTGAATCACAAGCAAAAGAAACTTGCTTTTTCATACAGTGTCTTGTATAGAATATGTATAATTACATCAGATATGATTTTTCCTCTCCTTTTCCATAGCCTCAAGACGTTCAGAAGTCAGTCCTAAAAGGAATAATTAATGGTCTTCTACAAGAATGGAAGGGGTAATTGTAAAAAATATTTGCATTAATGCTGTGCCAGCACTTACAACTGGTATACTTTTTGTCTTTATTGTTTTAGACAAAGAAAGAAAACGTTCTGATATGACATATTTGACTCATAAGAACTTGTCTCTGGCAGGCAAATCTGCTGAAATGTATCTTGAACTCTGTAAGCTGACATTGAATCTGTGAGAGTGAGACCCAGCCCCAGCCATATATTCCCCCGCAAAATCTCAGCTGCTTTTGCCGGAACAGTCTGTCGGGCATCTGAACTGGGAGATGAATTAAGGAATTTATCTAGACTAAAAAGTATTCTCCCCACCCACCCCCCCAACAGCAACTAACATGTTTTAACCTAGATAATTCCTTGATCCAAAGTTTCCTTCACAATACTGTTCATGTGTGGCAACGGCATAAAAGGCAGTGCAGGATGCAGAAGGGGATAGCCCAGAGGCAGGAGGTTTGGAGATGGCCACATTTTAGCAAGAAGTAATAGAAGTTAGAATGCATGGATTGATTCACAAAAAGATACAGCAAGAGCTCTATGGCGCCTTGTGACCCAGCCCTTGGCTATTCCTTTCTCCACCTTCTCTGTGCTGTTGCTGCATGTGTGCTTGTGGTTCTATAAAAGCCTCAAAGCAGATAAAGAGCAAGAAGTACAGAGGGTGCGGTGGTAGAAGTGTATGGAGAATTCTGGCAGGAAATATCAAAAATGGGGCAAATAAACTCTTCTGTAGTGTGACCTGAGATAGACAACAGCATGGACTTTCATCTTTGGAACACCTCTTACTCTTCTGACTCTCTTTTTGATTCTCGCTTCTGTTATGCCACAAAATATGGATGCTAGAATAGCCTACTGCCTTTGGAGAGTAGTCAGAATCTTTAAGTGTCCTTTTTGATTTCCAAGAGCAGCGGACATCCTTAAATACGGTGTTTAAAAAGTATTGGCAAAGCAAAGCGAAGTCATATGGTGCATGATTTCAAGACTCTTAATGTGTATATATGATGTATACATATGGTTCTGCTTATTATTTCATTCATTCATAGGCCCCGAACAAAAGATGATCTTAGAGCATACTGTATACTTTTACAGGTAAGAAAAATACAGGGCTCTTATTTAAGTACATGTCTGCTTAACTTACAATCTATAAACCAGTATACTATGCAAACAAGATGCTTTGTGTAGTTGAGATACTTCACATTTAATTTCCTGTTAAAAGAATGTATTAAAATATGGAAGAAGTGTAGAGTATGCATGATGGGAATGGGAGCTTGATGGAAGGTAGTTGATGGGGAAAGGTTGCATAGATTAAAACTATGGACTATCATTATTAGACATATAATTGTGTCCTATCATTTTGTGGGTTGAAAGAAGAAATGTTTTAGCAGGTTATTGTTCTTGTTTCTTCCTTATTCCCAGATTTGCTTTATTAGTACGCTGTAACTATTCTTTCCAGAAAGCTTCAGTACATGCACTTTTTGATATTGCTGTAACTTTCTCCAGTGTTGCATTTTATCCAGCAGACTCTCTCCAGTCTATCTGACTGGCTACATTGTCTGATTTCTGTCTGTGTTAACCTATTACCTTTGCTACTATAGCAGATTTACATTTGTGGCAAATTTCCCCTTTAAATTTTGCCAGTGTAGGTAACACCTCTCAACACAGAGAGGTTTCTGCTGTTATTTGAGAAGGTCAGATGGTAATTTAATTTTTTGAGACAATAGTTTTCTTCTCTGGAGTGGTATACTAGCTGTGAATCAGAAGGAGTATATCCTGCTGAAAAGTGGGAATGTGTGAACTCATACATAATAGGGAAAATAAGTTGGGATTGATGTGCGGGAAGCTGTGAGAATCCTTACTACTGAGGTGGAAAGCACATCACTCATAGGAGTGTAATTCATGTGCTACGCAGTAAATGATAATTCAGAAAAATATATTGACTACTGCCTTTATTACCTGTGGGCTTTCTTTTGAAACAAAAAGAATCATACTTTTACAATATAGGAGTTATGTATTTTTTTATTTCACTAGAATTTGTAAGTAATTTTTTTTCATAGTTTTACCACTGTCACAGCAATTTTGTGAATTCCTTTCCTGCGTAATTGTATTGGCAACAACAAACATAAGAAAAAATCCTAATAACTTTTTTGCCTTTATGCAGTTTATTAACCTAACACATTTTTTTAATCTTTTTCAGAATCCTCAATTTAGTAACACTTCTACTTATGTCATCTATGCTCACTTGCTAAGACAGATAGCAGCCTTAACAGAAGCTGACCATCATTTCCTAGTGCACTGGTCTAAAAAGTAAAAAAAAATAAAAAATAAAATTTAAAATTCCATTTTTTAGGATTACAATTGTTACTGTATTTCCATTGATGTTAACTGTTTCATAAATTACATGAAAGTTAATTTAATTGACAAAAGAGATTGTTTTTGTTGTTTTCAAAGTACATTTGGACATAGTCCATTAAGTGATACTGATTTATAGATGCAAACTGTATATAATGTATAAAAAGGAATATCTTTATGCAAAAAAAACTTAATTGCAAAGTAACTTATGTAAGTTATTTGTCGGTAACACATGCAAAATATCTTCTGTATATACATTTTTAGATAAATGTTTAAATGGTGTTATTAATACAAACATCTTTGTGATCTTTGTTTAAATGAAAGGTTTATTGTGCATAATTTGCAAAAGATACTGTAACTTCACTGTACTGTGTGAAAACCACAAATGAAATTGAGTCCCTGCTTTGTAGTGTGATAGAGGTGGTGAGACAGTATTGTTAGGGAATTAGTTTTTTTAATTGAATTAACTCTAAGCACCTCACTAACAAACTCATGGGAATAGCTGCCCATAGATTGGCTTTTAAGTTGGTATGCAGTTGCCTTCCTTATAATGACTGTGCAAAAACTTCAGTCTGGGATAAAAAAGTTTGAATGGCCATATTCACAATTCCTTTACCTCCTAGGGAATCTGTTAATAAAGGATTTTCTTCTCTGCAAGGATGGAAATTATATGTCCCTCCTCTCACCCTGTAATACGTCTAAATTTGCTTAAAATTGTGGTAATATGTGATTTCGTTTGAATCGGTGTTTACCAATAAGATTTACCCTCTTGGCTAAGGATGCAATAACCATACTGTCATTTTTATTCTTAAAACATGTATTAGAAATCTAAACCATTGAAACAGAAGAGCTCTTATTTAGAAAAGGATGCTTTAATATATCTACACATATATGTGCATTGCTGTGATTTTATAGAAGTGGTGCAGCACATAATTTAAAATGCACGCTTGTCACAAGTGTATGAAGTACTTTCCACACTTTATTCAATAGGACCAAGCATCCCAAAATAACAACCTTAGAATTCCTCAGTATTTATATAGTGGAGTGAAATAGCTAAGGATTTTTTGTTTTCTTTTTATTTACTAAAAATCAAGAACAAGTAATGATGCTATTGCATTTTTTTTTTTAAATCACAGACATCAAAAAGCATAGTTAGGGGTACACTGAAGAACATTACTGTCTGCCAGTATTTAAAAGCATGCTTCTCAAACTTTATATTTGGAATTTTGTTTTTATGTATAGGACAAAAGCATGTTTTTTGTTTTAAAAATCACATTGAAATCTGACAGTATAAACTCTCGTGTAGACAGTGATCACATGAGAGTAACTGCAGCCTGTTTGTTTTAGGATTTCACAGAGGAGGTTCAAGGAGTTGGTGGACAGGTTACTGCAATTTATTTCTTTACGCCTGTTTCCTGCAAAACCTGAAGAGTTTCCACCTATGGTGAAATGTACCTGGTGGATTCCATCAGCAACCAAAGTCTTGGCTTTATTTAGTAGGTATTTTTCTTGAACTATGTATCTGTGTGTATGTGTATATATGTGTACGTTTGTGTATGTAAATACATGTGAGGGGGGATAGTTTATACCTGTCATCTGGGGCAGACTGACAATGGTGGTGGCACAGTATGAACTACAATAAAATGCCAAAAAGTAGTAAGCAACAAAAAACATCTTCTATTGGCAAGTCTTCATACTTGCTTTCCAGTAGAGGATAATTGCTATGCATCATTTTCCTGTAACAACAACTGAAGATTATTCAAACAAAAATCCACAGAAGTAACTGATGGTTAAGGTTTCCCTTAGATTTGTAAAAGAAACTGTTTTAAATGTGTAATTGTCAGAATTTCTTTTGTAGCTGGCTTACCCCCACTGAAGTATTTGATATCTAAGAGAAGTTGGGCAATGCATATGCCTCCTAAGTCCAAAACTACAGTTTAAAAAAAGTAAATCCCTGTACAGTTCAACATAGAACACAGCAAATTTTATCACTGCAAATGCAAACCACCTTCTCGACTCATCCCCAGTAGCTTAGTGATTAGAACAATTACTGTGGAAATGGGAGGATGAAGGTCAGTCCCCTTTTCTTGAGGGGTAAATACCTTCCTCCTTTCTAGGAGAAAATGAAACCACCGAGTGAAAATTACGATGGGAATGAGGATGTTTTCATTTTGCTGTCATCTTAAAACTTTTACTTAAAAGCATTCTGCACAGTCCTGCTTGTCCAGAACAACAGTTTAGACACATAAGCTCAACTGTGTCTAAAACAGAGATGTGTGCTGTCTAGTCATCTGTGAAGGAGTTGCGAATTACTTAATTCTAGAAAAAGGGACATTTAGTAATTCAAGATACACTACTTTCTGTCTGACCGATCAAAATTAAATTATGTTTAAGTGCAAACAGAGAAAACTTATTAGCTGTTTGACATTATATGAATGTTACATAATGAGTTAGGCAGCTTAAGTGTGAATTACTTCATGTGGTCAAGTACTTAATTTTTGTATTGGTGAGTTTAGATAGTCTAGTAGTTACCTGAGCAAATACGTGTATCTTTGCATACTATGTTTTGTGCCCCTGCCTTTCCATCCCTTTTGCAAGCAGGCATCAAACAAATAATTGTTAACTGTAAAACATGTAGACGTTATATCCATAGCTACGTTTGGAACTAAATGAAGGTGTTTAAGAAATCCATCTATCAAACTGCTTTTTTGTTGATTTCATCAGAACATAGCATTCTTTATCCATCAGGCCTTAACTTACTGTATTTCATTAAGTGGGCTAGAGTCAAATGGAGGTTCTCTTATCACAAATGGGCTGAACTAGGGATTTACTATTTTTTACAGCAATTAACACGATTACATATGATGCTATGTTATAGTTGTAATTCTGTAGCTAAGACTGAGACAAAGTTATTAGGTGATTTGGCTTAGTGTTTGAGGTCACGGGTGCTTAGGATGTGTAGAAAATGGATGTGCCAAATCTGAGCAGTATTTTAAAAGACTTTGGCGTTTTCTTTGTAGATGCTGCTAATAGTCTGATCAGTCCTCCTGTTATTTCATATACGGATTTCTATAATTCTACACTTGATCATATTGATCTTATGGAAGAATATCATAACTGGCAATGTTATGCAAATTCTCACAGGTAAGAGGAATAATTAGTTGTTTCTTGTTAAGTATTTCAAAGCACTTTATCTACAGTATGTATATCTCATATATAGTGTATATAAGGTGTGTACATATGTTATACATACACTTTATGTGTATATGTAGGCACATTAAATACTGTATTTTACTAGAAAAACATAGTATAGCTACTACTTGCTATATTTGCTACTGCATAGGTGTGATATTAGTGTAATGAATCTCATTCTGCCTTTGCAAACTGGAGAAAATATGTAAAATATAGATGATAATAATATGAGTTTATTATTTATTGGAATAGACTTCTAGTTGCTTCTTATTACGAACATGTTTTAACTTCCAGTACATTCATAGAAAGTGATGTTGTGTGCATACTTACCACTGAATGATGAAAAAGTGTCTAATTACCTGTATACGCGTGGCTCTGATCATATTTGTTCCAGTGAGATCAATTGTACTGTTTCTGTTCCGTGAAACTAAACACACAAGATAAATCTTTACACACTCAAAGCTTGCAAAGGTATTTCTCTTCTTGTGAGAGGCAGCCAGCTGTATGATTTAGAAACATCTAGAGAAATCTGCATTTCATCTTTCTGCTAAATTTTAAAATCTTGCTAACGTTTTCTTAATAAAAATGTTATTTTCTACAGCTGTATTTTTCAGCAGCCTGAAAAGCAGCATCACAAGATTATCACTGAGTCTTTACAACTTGAATCACAAGATCAGTTGAAATTTCCCCATATTTCAAGACTTTTCAGTAAGCTAATTTAAGACATCAGCCATCCAAATGTAGCTTTTTGTTTATTGTGTGTGCAATGTTCCTTGCCTTTAGCAGCAGTTAAGGAAAACTTGAAGAACATAATTTGCTCTACCAAAGCAGGTATTTTAAGCTAGGCTTCTGTCTGATACCTGATATTCTGCTTGGGAAGGAAGTTAAAAAAAAAAAAAATAATCAAGAACTAAAAAACAATCTCAAAACCCATGGCACATGATAGCAATAAATCTACAGTAGGCTTTGCATAGTCTCAGTCAAAGCACTGGAATCTGAAAACTGCAGAGCTTTTTTTTTTTTTTTTTTTTTTCTTTTCTTCCATTGGCACCATCTGGCTGTTTTGGCACTCACATCCAAACTTACAAAAGGCCTGTGAGATTTCCACCTGCTCCAGTTCTTTTCAGTTAGCTGGGACACTGGGAATTCAATATATATCAAAACAAAGTTTGCTTGAAGCGGCTGAAATGCAGACTAGCTTTATTATTCTTAAAGTAAATTTAATTCTTTTACTTTGTTACAACCACACTTCTTTCCAATTTTATATCTTTGTGTTGTTCCACTTAAAAAAAAAACAAACCCAAAACAAACAAAAAAACAACAAAGTATCACAATCAAGACTAGATGCTTAGAACCAAGAAGGCCAAGTAGGAGCAAGTCCTGATTTACCTTGCATATGAAATATTTTGAAATACATAATTCTTTGAACTAAGTCGCTGCTTCTTGGTAAAATATTTTGGAATAGGATTTCCACGAGACCAAGTGAGAATATTTTTCCTCCTTTTTCTTTGTTTCCTAAAGACATTAGAATCCAGAGCTTCTCACAGGCAGGATTCAGGGTGCGCATGCAGTCTGGATTGAAGATGCACACATAGAGTCTGAAGCTCCGTATATTTCAAGATGAACTTCTACTAGGTGACGCATGAGCTAAGGGAACAAAAAACTCTTACCTTGATGATTTCTGAAGTTTTTCAAAATTATTTGTAGCATTTGATTGAAGTGGAATGTGGCTGTGATCCAATATTTTAGAAGTCATAAACACTTGTAGCACTGGATTAAATCTGAAGGACCTGTGGAGAATCAGCTCCTTTGAAAATCAGTTCTGCAGCAAATAAGCCAAACTAGAAATATTTCTATTGCATACGTAAGAACACTGCACTAAGAGCTATTTTTCTTGTAGTGGATATTATCGTTTTCTTTAATTCAGTGTAGCAATTAAAATTTAGTATTTAAAGCAGAAGATGACTGGTTTTTATTAGGTCTATTGATAACGACAAACAATAGAAAAGGGCTTTATTGAGGATAAGTATTATTACTAATTACAGTTTCTAGTAGTATTTGCAAATAACAGTTTGTTCTACTGAATCAAGTACCTGTGCATACGACATGAAGAAGACAGCAGCTATTTGCAAATTACTGTCAGTCAAGGGTAGGTAGTTACTGAATGATAATGCAAAGATTCACTCTTGTATTCTTAAAAAGAAAATAATATGCTAGATGCTAAAAAGGCAATATTTTATCTTCTTTTCTCTTGTTGTTAGGTTTTCTTTCTGTCAATACCCATTTATTATTTCTATAGCAGCAAAAAAAGTGATTATTCAAAGAGACTCAGAACAGCAGATGATAAGTATTGCACGGGTAAGTCATTTAGTGATAAATGTTTGTGTCTCACCCATTGGTGTTGTATAAGCTTTTGCTAGGTTGATATTACATACAACCTTTTATCACAATCTCTAGTATTTTAGACTACCTTGAAAAAGAACTTGAGCCATATTACTATTACTAGTCTACAAATGTCCATGCTGGATTCTTTCAATACTTTTTATTTTAATGTGCTTAGTTTCAGAATGCTTATAAATAGCAGTGTTACGGAGAAAGACTTAGTATTTTAAATTTTTTTCTTTTTTGAGAAACCAGCATAATGTGCTAGCATGTTAAATTAACAAGATAATTAAGGAAGAAGAATTCCATGAGAATTTTGGACTGTTTCCTATTTTATTCTGTGAAGTTATGTTGTTGTGGAAGACCAAGATGCAACTGTACATTCACAAGTCACAGAAGAGGTACTGCTTCTGGGCAGCCTCTTATGTTTTGAAAGAGACATTATCTGCCTCCTTTGGTGGTAACTTTCTTCAGGTGATAGATGACAACTGGTTTCCTCAGTGCTCAATGTGGCAGCACCACTACCTATCCATTCCTCTCTTGCTGGATGTGTTTTCTGAATAGCTAAGTAAAGCACAAACCAGTCTCCAGAATCTTGTGGGTATGTTTTTAACAATCTGGGAAGTTTAAAAGGTTGCTACACAATTACTTCATGACAAGTTAGTTCGAATATGGTGTAAATGCTATCTGCAGCAGAAAAGAAATTGCTCTCCATCTCTTGGAAGATACTACAGCAGCTGTCATACTAGGATAATGTCTTTAATGCAAGATAATAAGGACTTTTTACAATTAAGATTGTGGCACTTTGTTTTTTAAATAAAGATGTTGCATGCGTGCTGTTTTCTTTTTCATTTAAATAGCAAAGCCTTGTGGATAAAGTATCTCGCAGACAGAAACCTGACATGAATATGTTGTTCCTAAATGTGAAAGTGAGGAGGACGCACCTTGTTAGTGATTCACTTGATGAGGTAACAGAAAATGTAATTAAATGGTGCTGCAGCATAGCTATGGTACTTAGATTCCAGTTTGATAAGGCATATTTAAATCTTTCTGTGCTAAGAGGTAGGGAATATAACTGTAATACTAAATAAAAAGAACTGAATTACTATGTCACAATAGCAGTGCTGCAGAATAGATTAGACATTCTGAACTTTATTTTCTGTCCTCATACTCCTCCATAGTTAAGCCCATAATGAACATACATGCTTGCATGATATGCATTATGTATATGTGTTTGCAATTTTTGTCCTAAGAATACAGTGCATAATTATAAGATAGGTAGAACTTGGTTCCATGATAGGAGCATGAATAGTAAGTGACTAATCACTAATGAGTTTGTTCTGTTCTAATTCTTGGAATATTTTTATTCTTTTCCTTCACTAACTTCTCTATCCTATAATAATTATTTTAGGCTTTCTTTTTCTTTCTTAATTTCTTATGTTGATTTTAACTGATTTCTCACATTCTTCAATGTAATTTTTCATTTTTAAGAAATGAAACAAATGAGTCCATTAAAGTAGACAATTATTCAGTATCTACTGAACCCTGCTAATTAACATTATTTAATGAACTGTAGTTTCCTACTCTTTCTCAGCACTAAAAACAGCCTGATGGTATTGAATAATAAGTCCAAGTGGTGAAAACAAAATAAGACCAAACAATTTCTGATTGCTCATGTTCAGAAAACATAAGTTTAAACTTTTTTTCCTAGATTAAAGCCTGTCTGTTTTGGCCTTCTCTTCTAAGACAGAAGAAATATGAGTGGTAATACTGCTTTCTCTCAGGCATTTTAGGTTTTTATTTACGACACTGAAATAACCAAGAGTAACTTTAATAGTTCTGACAGTCAAAGTATTCTCCTATTTATTTCTGATGTTTTCTTCTGCCCGTGTTGGGGATGACTAAGAAAGTAATATATTATCAATATTCTCAAAAGTGTGGGGAATGGAAGGTGAGGCAAAGAGGTCTCATTTGTGTTTCAAATCTAAAAAAATAGTTTGCAAAGAAAAATCACTTCAGCTAATAGTTTGCATCAAGTAATGCAAATACCTGTAGTTATAAAAATTCCTGTTACACAAATTACTTGAGCAGCTAACAATGTAGAATTATTTTAGTGCATGCATCTTTGTGACTGGCTTAAACATTTTCTCTGGAGGTGGCCAGTAATTAATGATTTAAAGAAAAATTGGATAGGGACTTGATCTGAAAGATCACTGCGAATTGTGAAAGGCTGTAATGTAATTCTTTGCAGGTCTTTTGCATACCTGGATGAAATGCTGTCTTGTAGGACAAAAGAATGAAAAGAGCCTGTTACCATTGTCTAAAAAACATTTTTACAAAATAGCTAATACTTGCTGGCAGGTATCTTATGCTGAACAGAACAGTGTCCAAATGTTGACAATTTTAGCTAACTCCATATTTCTAAAGATCTCCAAAGGAGTTCTGAATTTTTTTTTAAATCTAGCATTTCTTCTTGGCAGAATGTCTTCTGTGTAGGTAAATAACTTTATAGGTCCAAAGTATTCCAGACAGGCTCAATTCATTGTATCTAGTAGCTTATCAAAAGTCTGTTTGCATACCACCTAACTTCTTCCCAAGCCTAGAGAGTGGCACCATGTGCAAGGTAGTTAATGATGTCAAGTAGTTGTGATCATCTTGCTTCTGCAGTTCAGTTATTGTTTTAATGTAGTTTTGAGCTATTAGGAGGAGATGATGCAAATTACTAGTTTAAACAAAGCAAGAGCGGTAGAGACAGAGAATTGTGTTCTCTGTAGCTAGAGGTACTGATAATATGTTAAATCTCATTTTTCTTCTGCTCTACCTATTTTGCAATAGCTAGCAAGGAAGAGGGCAGATCTGAAAAAGAAGTTGAAAGTCACATTTGTAGGGGAAGCGGGTCTTGATATGGGTGGCCTGACAAAAGAATGGTTTCTTCTTCTGATTCGCCAGATTTTTCACCCAGATTATGGTAAGTCCTTATAAGTGTTCTCAAGTACCACATGAAAACTTGTTCATTTTAAATTATCAAAACAGCGATGGATAAGAATTGTTCATTAACCCATTACGAGGAAGACCAGTTCCTAACTGGTGTAAAACCAAAAGCAGGCAGGTTAGAACTGTAGATACATGAGAAGAAGTTTTGGTATAGAGGAAGGTGGGAGAGTGGGAAGTACTTCAAGAGCTTTGAAGATCTCGGCTTTTGACAAGGAGGTTCACGCATTGCTGAAAAACTCAGATTTTGCTTCAGTGGTATGACAAAATTAGAGGGCGAACAAATCTCTGATCAATGGAAAGGTTTAGAATTAAAATCATGATTTAGCTTTTTAAGACTTTAGTCATGTGAAATCTTGTTTCAGAAGCTGATGCTCAGTGTTTGTGGTTTGTTAGTATCCCTAGGCTAGTGAGCCTAGTGGATATGAAGCAGGGGGATTCAAGACAAGCAGATTTTTGCTGAAGTTCTTCCTCTGATACACCTGTGGTGTTACAGTGTTTCTGTCCAGAGACAGGATCTGGGCAGATGGGAGAAGGCCGTCAACTGTTGTATGGAGTAAGACAAGGATAATTTAAATCTGTTATGACTCAAATGGAATCGGGCCTTTGAAAGTACTGTTTCAATTTCTCTTCCGAGTAGAAAATGCCCAAGAGCTTTCTATGAGTGTTAGTGAGTTTTTGGACCTACTAACAAGCTAAGAAGAATAAGCGAAAGCTATGCAAGCCATTGAAACACTGATGCTTGTCTGCCCTTGGAAATTTTCTAAAATTCACACCAGTCTATGTGTGAATTCTTATATTTGGATTGAAGAATAAGTTTCTTCCATTTAGCTTAATATGATGTGTGGTTGCAATTGGAATATGATATTCTTGTTCCAAAATAGGAAGAGACATATAGCAGCCTCTGAAGTAGATGGTTTATCAAATAGTCAGGTAGAGATGAGGCCAAATGTATTTGGTTTTCACCTGACATCCATGCTTCTTTCTTCTTGTGCTGCTGCATTTTCTGCTTTTACACTGCCCTCAGCTGTCTTCATGTTGCTAGTTTAGGGAGTTTTCCTGGTTTTCGTAAGTAGCTACAGTTGGATGCTGCTACTGTGCTCGGTTCTGGCAGATTGCTGACTCTGGCCTCCCATGTATCAATGGTTTCCGGTTGCACTGATAGCGTCTGCAAGTTCTAGCACTATTTCTGTGATTAGTATAGGTAGAGGTTAGTTCTTACTTGAATCTTTGTCATCATGTATTCTGTTTGAGGTGTCTGTGTGGCCAGTATTCCTAAGGTGGTCTGAGATGCCCTCTAGGAGGGAAAGGTACTTCAGTCAAGTGCAGAGACAGTATAAGCAGATGTGAGACTGAATGAAATAGCCTGCTGCTGCTGTTACCAGGACCTGTGAGCCCATAATGATATTTGCAGGCCCAAGGTGGAAAAAAGATCTTTTTCTTTTTTTTTTTTTTTTTTTTTAGTAAGTAGAAAATTGGAAGACATGAATGAGCGTTCATAAACAAACAGTTCAATCTACTTGTTTTATATTGCTGTAGATGGATCTGGGTGGGGTTTTTTCCCCACTCTAATATTTCTCAAATGAATCAGCTTTTCTCAGCTGTGCATGGACTACTGATGTTATAATGGGTTAAAGTGTTCCCAAGCTGGCTTTTGAATTAGAAATATTGATTTCCAGGGACTTCAGTATAACACCTGATAGTCATTGAGAGAATGCACAAGCTTGTCTGTATTTACCTGGAAGTGTTCATGTCCTTAAATGCATGGTCTTCTGTTTATGGGACTCCTTCTAAAAGTCCAGAGTTTTAAGTCATAAATGTCCTCAAATCTGCTGAGATCATTATTTGCCTATAGCCCTTTTTCTAGCAAAAAGAGGTCTGTGTGGAGGGATGATGCTTGTTGATAACAACCTCAACAGGAAACAATCTATACCGGAGAAAGTGTTCTGCAAGTTTGACAGTTCTGTTAGTAAAAATGTGTTGTCAGCAGAGCTTGGTAACTGATGAGTTTGGAAACATTTGCAAGTAATTTTTTCACCAGCTCTGGCAGCAGGCTTCCGTGCTTTAAAGTGTAAATCCTTTCGTTGATATGACTATCAGCCAAGTGTGGGAGGAGTTCAGAAATGCTCTTGTCCATTGGAAAGGGACTGTATACTCTGCTGTCTTTAATGTTTAAGTTAGGAAGTAATGGATGTCAGAAGCTTGGAAGGAAAAACATAGGAAAACGTAGCTGTTATTACCCTTTCCAGGTTAGCTGATCCTGCAGATTTAACCTCTGAAATTAAACAATTCTGAATTAACTCAGTCTGTCCTCATTATGTGTTATGATGCTTTCTTCATCTGCGTGTAGACAATTAATAAATGGGATTTGAGACCTATTTTGTTCCAGCATTACTACCATCTTTCAGTATGTGAACGTTGCTCTGCCTTACATGCAACTGTTCTGTTGCTTCTGGTAAAGGCACTGCCTAAACTTTTTGTGATTCGCACCTTTCTGAGCTAAAGTTAAAAAGATGAAGTCAGATTGTTCAGGACAGTAGAGGGGAAAAATATGAAAGCAGAGTTTTACCTATAATTTTTCACAAGATCTAGATGTCCCTGAAACATCAGTTGGATTTTTATTTTTTAATCCAAAGGAGTTTGATTTTTTTCATTTACATCTTTTTTTTTTCCTAACTTTGTCTTCAAGCACAAATGGAGTGAGCTACTGCATCCAAGATGTCCTTAGAACTATTCAGTGCTTTGGTTTGTACACTGAGTGTGGAAACAATAATAAACTGTCGCCCAATTCAGTCCCAACAAATTAAAGTCAGTCATCACATTTTATCCAATTTACTTCTGCATTGCTGAAGTTAATTTCACTGTTAGTGCACACTTAACTAGAATGTGTCTTTCTTCTCTGAGTGATAATTTTGAGGCATCTTAAAGGTGTTCTGTGGTTTCATTACATAGGTTTTACTTTCTTACTTACTATTCCTTAAAACAGAATGATCCTTATCTGATGCAAATAGCAGTCAAATTAGTCTACAGTCATGGCTTCAGTAGAGTCTAGCTAGTCATTTAGACACATGGGCAGCTTTTTTAGTGTATTTGTTCTTTGGGGGTTTTTTAAACTTCTCTGATACAATTTTTTGACAGAAAGTATGAAACATATTGCTGGTGTGCTTATAAGATAAACCTTTTACAGCTTTATATTCTAAGATGGTAAAGCTTATGGTATTTGTATCATGTGATTCATGCCAGCATTTTTAAAGATTGTCGTCTGCTATTGACCCAGGAAGAGAGGAAGAAATGGGCTTACGTTGCAGCAAGAACATTTTGGTTAGACAATGAACATTTCTGGCTGTGCAGATGATGAAGTACAGTGAAGAAAGAGATTGTGCAGCGACAGTGCAGAATATCCGTGACTAGAGGCACTGACGAACGCATTGCACGAGCACCCAACGGGGCTAGTGGGCTTAGGCCTCCTCGGGCTTGGCGCTGCCCTTGGCGGTCCTTGCCCGAGCACCCACGGGCTCCTGCTGTGGGTGGGAGGACGGGGCTGAGAGCAAGTGCGGAGACCGGGTGCTGTGACGGGTGCATATGTGAGGTTTTGTACAGCTGTTCGTTGACGCTCAGGCTCTGCAAACGCCACCGTTCTGTTCTGCAGGCATGTTCACCTACCACAAGGACTCGCACTGCCATTGGTTCAGAAGCTT